AAAAAAAAAAAAAAAAAGAATGAGGGAGAAAAAGTGATGTGAGAGCAGAGAGGGAGAGGGAGAGAGAATGGGAATGCTGGGAGAGGAAGCATGAGGTGGTGAGGGAATGAGTTACACAGACACCTGGGGGAAGACACTCCAAGTAGCAAAACAAATGCAAAGAAATGTGAGATTAGACATCAGGATGCCTTGGGGGGTTTTGAGCCCAAGCAAGGATGGAGCCCCCAGTTACTGGGACAGGGAAGAGGGAAGGGCAGGCTTTCAGAGACATTCAGGAGCTGTTTTGGGCCCACTGACTGTGACAGTTGACAATGTGTGGAGATGCTGAGCAGGCAGTGGGATCCAGGAGTCTGGAGTTAAAGGTCAAGGCCCAGCAGGAGACAAAAACTGTGAGCACTATGTGCAAAAGGTACCTGAAGCCAGGGGATGGTGGACAGAAAAGAGAAGGCCTGAGCCCTGGGGTACTCCAAAGGGGAGGTGAAGAAGTATCAGTAAAGCAGTCCCCAGTGAAGTGTCCTGGGAGCCAGGGGAGGAGAGACTTCCAGGCAATGGCAGTGATCAACTGTACTTGATCAATTGTGCTTCTTGCTTCTGAAGGTTAGGTGAGAGCTGAGGACTAACAGCCATGTAGTTTGGGGAAGCTGCATAGAAACAGGTGCTAAGGAGAGGGAAGAAGAGGAGAGGGAGTTGCTGGCATTTGCAAAGCAGGGTGCTGAGGCAGTAGCAAGGAGGTGGGTAAAATGGGTTGTAGGTTCAGCTGAGGCTAAAGGGCTACCTGGAGAGTGTTGGGAGATGGTTATACCACCTCCCAACATTCTCTCAAATCCAACCTGTCTTCACTCCCACTGCTTAGTGGTCTTCTGTCTCAAAGTTTTTGCCCACTCAGCAAACAGCAGGACCTTTTGACAAAGCAAATCTCATTGTGTACTTGGCTCCTTCTGCTTCTAAGCACTGGTTCTATCCTCTCTCTCCAGTCAACTTCTACTCATCCTCCTTGGGGTCTTTGCTTTCAGCCACCGCCTCCTGGAAGCCTGACTTTTTACCTACTACGTGCTGCTCCCAAGACCTGCCTAATTCCATTATATCCCCTAGTGGGCTGTGAGTTCCCTGAAGATAGTGCTTGCATTCCCGCCTCCACCCCCCAGTTCCCTCCTGCATCCCCCGTGCCCAAATTGAGGCCTGGCCCAGCACTGGTGATCAATACACCTGTGACATTACCATAAAAGCATCGTGCAGAACAGTCTGCACGTCACAAACCTCCCTGAGTTTTCTTGTGCATATTTAAAAGTAGCAGTCACATCTGGACAGGGATACAACTAACATGTCCCTTCCATGATAAACCCTCTGTGACTCCCATTGCCCCCAGGACAAAGTCCCACTCTGAGCGCTGTTTTCCTAGGCGCCTCTGTTTTTCGACCCGGAGATTATATACAAGCCGTGCCCTTGGCTGGGGATGCCTCCGCACTTAAGCAGGGCCACGCGCGCTCTCTGACTCCTCCGGGTCGCACTGCAGCTGGAACTTATTGCAGGCACAAGTCGTGAGGCTCGAGCCCAGCCTTGGGGACCCTGGGTTCCCGGCACCCGCGCCCCGCTCCTGCCGGCCGCGCCTGCGCACTGGGCCTCACCACGCTCCTTGCGCTCTGGGAAGCCGTAATCGGGAGGGAAGGTGGGCATCCGCAGGGGGTCGGGCTCCACAGAAGAATCGCCCAGGTAGCGGCGAGCCAGGTGGGCTCCCATGGCTGCTGTCGCCGCAGACCCCCGCAGCAGTGTAGGGTCACCTCGCACCTACCCGGAAGCACTGCCCTCTTCGCCAGCCACGGCTTCCGGGTCGCTCAGGCCATTGCAAGGATCATAGAGATGAACGATTCCAGAGAGTTGCTCTGGTCCGTCTTCCTCCACCTGGCGGTAAGCAAGAGGCAGTACAGGTGCCGCGCCCCCTCGCGGAATATAGTCGAACCCCAGAAGGAATGTCCCCCAGAATCAAGTGGGCCTGGGACCTCGCTCAGTCGTCAGGTCTGGGGTGTTCCTGGTGGCCCAAGTATAGAGCACAAATGAAATTTTTCAAAAAATTGTTTTCTTTGAAAACAGTTGAATTTCCCTTAATAAAACTACAGAATACCGATTATATAGTGAATGTTATAATTTTTAATGAAATTATTTAAATATTTTGATTGAATTTAATTTAAATAAATAAATTCAAATTATTTATACATTAGTTAAAGCTGTACATATAAATAAATTCTATTGAATATATTATACACGGACACACATTTTTTTTTTTTTTCAGCTGGCAAAGCATTTATTAGGCATCTAGCATATATTGGGTCTAGTGGTCAACAGGCAGATATGGTCCCTGCATTGTACATCTACAGTCTAATAGGATAGGAAAACATTATGTAAGAAATAATGAAAATAAGACTGGATTAAAAAATTGTGATATGAAGGGTCCATGAGAAAGAAAAAAGAGTAAGTGACATTAGTTTGGATGGTTGGGGGTAAAAGGGATTTCCATTCATTAAAAAATTTTCTTTTACAGATGGGGTCTCACTTTGTCACCTGGGCTGGAATGCAGTGGCACAATCATAGCTCAATCACAGCCTGGAACTCCTGGCTGTGCTTCAGACTTCCAAGTAGCTGGGTTACAGGTGTAAGCCTTCTTGCCTGGCTCCAGTCCTCTTTAAGAGCATAATCTTGCCTTGGGAACATGCTGGATTTTCATGAATTTTTCCCTTTTATTTTTAGTTGACATGTGGTAATTGTACATATTTAAGGAACATAGTGATTTGCCATACATGTATATAATGTGTAATTATTAAATCAAGTTAGTATATTGATCACCTCAAATAGTTATCATTTCTTTGTCTTATGGACATTCAAAATCTCCTTTTCTAGTTTTATGAAAATATACACTAAATTGTTATTAACCATACTGACCTTATAGTGCCACAGAACCCTCGAGCTTATTGTTCCCATCTAGGTGTAATTTTGTATGTTAACCAGTCCCTCCCTATTCTTACCTCCCTCCTATCCTTCCCAGCCTCTTACAATCACTGGAAACTATGTACTTCTGTAAATTCATGTCTTTTAAGCTTCCACATATAAGTGAGAACAGGTGGCATTTATCTTCCTATGCCAGACTTATTTCACTTAATATAATCTCGTCTAGACTGATCCATACTTCTGCAAATGACAGGATTTCATTCTTTTCTTTTAAATTTTAGGTTAATATGACGGTACAAACAACCAAATCACAATATTTGAATTTGTTAGGTAGAGTCCCTCTTGTATGTATGTCCTGCACCTAAAAACTATGCCATATATCTCTACTTTGTGCCCATTCAGTGGGAGCACCTCAAAACCCCCCTCTCCTCTTCCCCTTCCCTCATTCCCTCTCCCCCCAACTTGAATTGAAATGAGTTTTTTTCCTATGTGGGCATGAATTAGATCATACACTGGCTTCATATTAGTATTGAGAACATTGGATATTTGCTGTTCCATTCTCGTGATACTTTACTGAAAATAATGTGTTTCAACTCCATCCACGTTAATACAAATGATGTGAAGTCACCATCTTCTTTATGGTAGAATAGTATTCCATGGTATGCATATACCACAATTTGTTAATCCATTCCTGAACTGAAATTTAGTCTCTTTCTACATCGTGGTGATTATAAATTGAGCTGTGATAATCTAGTACATATGGCCTTATGATAAAATGATATTTTTCTTCTGGGTAGATGCCTAGTAGTGGCATTGTGGGGGTCAAACAGGAGATCTAACTTGAATTCTTCGAGAATTCTCCATACTTCCTTCCTGAGAAGCTGCAAAAGCTTGTATTAGTTTGCAGTTCCACCAACAGTGTAAAAGTATTCCCCTCTTTCCTAGTACTCTGGGAGGCCAAGGCGGGTGGACTGCTTGAGCTCATGAGTTTGAGACCAGGCTGAGCCACAGCGAGACCTTGTCTCTAAAGATAGCTGGGTGCTGTGGTGGGTACCTAAAGTCCCAGCTACCAGAGAAACTGAGAGAAGAGAATTGCTCGAGCCCAATCTGAGGGCGACAAAATGAGACTCTGTCTTGGAAAAAAAAAAAAAAAAGCTCCCCTCTTTCCACATCCATACCAGCAACTGCTTTGGGATTTTGGGATGTGGGCTAATCTTACTGGGGTTAGGTGATATCTCAGGGTTTTGATTTGCACTTCTCTGATAATTAGGGATGATGAGCATTTTCCCATGTTTGTTAGCCATTCATCTGTCTTCCTCAGAGAAGGCTTTTATGTCTCTTGCCCAGTGATAGATGGGATTGTTTACTCTTTTTTCATTGACCAATTTGAGTTCTCTATAGATCCTAGTTATCACACCTTCCCCAGATTTGTAACATGCAAATATCTTTTCCCATTCTGAAGACTGTCTATTTGCTTTGATTATTGTGTTCTTAGTGGTGCAGAAACTTTTCACTTTAAGTCTCATTTGTTAATTTCTGTTGTTGTTGCAATTGCCATAGAAGTCTTCTTCATAACATCTTCAAGAATTTTCTGCACACTTTATTCCAGGATTTTAATTGTTTCCTGCCTTAGATTTAAATCTTTTTTTCATCTTGAGTCAATTTTTGTACGTGGTGACAGGTGTGGGTCGAGTTTCAGTCTTTTATATATGGCTATCCAGTTCTCTCAGCACCGTTTATTGAATTGGGATTATTTCCCCCAGTGTATACTTTTGTTATCAAAGATCAGATGGCTATAAGGGACTGGTTTCATCTCTTGGTTTTCTACTTGATACCAAGTGTCTATGTCTTTAGTTTTGTGCCAATACCATGCTGCTTTGATCACTATGGACTTGTAATATAGCGTAAACTCTGGTAGGGTAATGCCTCTGGCTTTGTTTATATTACTAAGCATTACCTTGGCCATATGAGTTTTTATCTGGTTCCATAGGACATGAAAAACTATTTTTTCTAAATCTTTAAAGTATGATGTTGATATAGGATTTCATTTTTGTTTTGTTTTGTTTTTTGAGACAGAGTCTCACTTTGTAACCCTCAGTAGAGTGCAGTGGCATCACAGCTCACGGCAATCTCAAACTCCTGGGCTTACGTAATTCTCTTGCCTCAGCTTCCCAGGTAGCTGAGAGTATAGGCGCCCGCCACAGTGCCTGGCTATTTTTATTTTTTGTTTGTAGTTGTCATTGTTGTTTGGCAGGCCCAGACTGGATTTGAACCCACCAGCTTCAGTGTATGTGGCTGGTGCCTGGTGGCTGCTGAGCTACAGGCACCGGGCCATCATTCTTTTTTTTTTAATGGCTGAATAGTACCCACATTTTCTTTATCCATTCATCAAATGATGGGCACTTAGTTTGATTCCATATCTTGGCTATTATGAATAATGCTGTGATAAATATGGGGGCGCAGGTATCTCTTTGATTTACTGATTTCCTTTCTTTTGGATAAATATCTACCAGTATTTATATGGTAGTTCTATTTTTAGCTTTTTGAGAAACTTCCATATTGTTTTCCATACTGACTGTACTAGTTTACATTCCTATTAGCAGTGTGTAAGAGTTCCCTTTTCTCTGAATCCTTGCCAATATTTGTTATTTTTTGTCTTTTTTATGACAGACCTTCTAACCAGGATAAGGATCTTATTGTGATTTTTGACTTGCATTTCTGTGATTGGTGATGTTAAGCATTTTTTCATATACATGTTGGCCATTGGTATGTCTTCTTTTGAATAATGTCTATTCATATCCTTTGCCCACTTATTAATGGGATTTTTTTTTCTGTTGAGTTGTTTGAGTTCCTTGTATATTCTGCAGATTAGTCCCTTGTCAGATGAATAATTTGCGAACATTTTCTCCCATTCTACAGATTGTCTCCTCACTGTGTTGTTTCATTTGCTGTGCAAAGGTTATAGTTTGATATAGTTCCATTTATCTGTTTATTTTTGTTGCCTGTGCTTTTGAAGTCTTAACCCCACAAGATCTATTGAATATTTTGTAGAAATAAGACAAGTTGCAATTCTAATATGCTTCTAGTTGCTACTGTAGTGAATTGGTATTACATTTCACATCTGTTACATTAGGGCTTACGTCTAAGCAACTTTAAGACTGTGATATACTGTTTAATGTCAGTAAAATACTGTGCTCTTTGGCCTCTAAGTGCAAGTGTAACAAAAGCTGTGGTAATTTGTTTCTCTGGAATCCTAAAGTAGACTGCAAAGGGAAGCCAATTAACAGCATTGGGAAATGCTGCTTGGTTATGCAAGAATAAATTTCATTTCACATGTTGTTGTGGGCTAAACTGTGTCTCCAAAAGTGTGTAGAAGTCCAATTGCAAGAACCTATGAATGTGACCTTATTTTAAAATAGGGTCTTTGCTCATGCAATCAAGTTGAGATGTGGTCACACTGGATTAGGGTGGGTATGAGTCTAGTGACTGGTGTCCTAAAAAGAGGGAAATTAGGACATAGAGATATTCCCACAGGGAGAATGTTATGTGACAACAGAGGCAGATTGGAGTGATGCCTCCATAACCTATAAATCAAGGAATGCCAAAGATTTCAGGCAACCACCAGAAGGCAGAAGGGGAAGGAGGGAATGTCCCCCAGAGCCTTCTGAGGGGGCATTGCTGGGATAACACCTTATTTTGCAGTTCCAGCCTCCAGACTATGAGATTATGATTTTTTGTTCATTAGAGCCACTTATGCCCAGTGCATTATCTAACACCTGCAATCCCAGTGCTTTGGGAGGTTAAGGTCAGAGGATCACTTGAGGTTAGGAGTTTCAGACCAGACTGGGCAATATGGTTTACAAGAAAGACTTAG